CCCCACCTTCCCCTTCCCCTCCTGGGATCGCTAGTCTCATGATTGATCCTGAGGGGTTTACCTATCCTGGATTCCCAGTGTTTCCAGCTCTTATCTGTACCAGTGTACATGCTCTGGTCTAGCCAGATCTGTAAGGTAGAACTGGGGTCATAACAGTTTGGAGAGAGGAAGCATTAAAGAACTAGAAGAAAGTTGTATGTTTCATCGGTGCTATACTGCACCCTGACTGGCTCATCTCTTCCTTGTGCCCTTCTGGAAGGGGATGTCCAATTGTCTACTGATGGGCTCTGGGTCTCCACTCCGTACTGCCTCATTCACATCGATATGATTTTTTTGTTCTGTGTCTCTTTGTTCCCTTTGTCGTGGGAACCCTGGTGGCATAATGGTAAGGTGACCAGATTTAAAGCGGGACATCATTGACTGGGGGGGGACAGATGGGGCGGACTGTCCTGCCAAAAGCAGGATGTCTGGTCACCTTACATAACGGTTCTGTTGGGCTGCTAACTGCAAGGACAGCAGTTCAAAACCACCAGTCCCTCTGGCGGGTAGGGGAGATGAAGCTTTCTATTCCTAAAAGGTCACTGGCCTTGAGTGTGTGTGTGTGTGTGTGTGTGGTTGGTTGGTTGGTTGGTTTTTCTACTCCAGGGAAGAGGTACCGTCTCAGAGACCCACAGGGGCAGTTCTGCCCTCTCCTAGAGGGTCATGCTGAGTCAGAGCCCTCTGTGCGGCAGGAGTTTGGGTTTGGAGACCACCATCTCCTCCGCAGGAGAAAGACAAGGCTTTCCGTGAAGACTGACAGCCTCGGAGACCCACAGGGGCACTTCCATCTGTCCTATGGGAATGCTTTCAGTTGGAATCGGCTCCGTGGCAGTAAGGAGTAGAATGAATTCTACATGGAATCACTTCGGAGTTTCGACCTTGCAAGTCTGGCTAGACCAGAGGATGTACACTGGTACAGATAGGAACTGGAAATCCAGGGAATCCAGGGCGGATGAGCCCTACAGGACCAGTGGTGTGAGTGGCGAAACAGGGAGGGTAGAGGGAGAGTGGGTAGGAAAGAGGGAACCCATTACAAGGAACTATATGTGACCTCCTCCCTGGGGGACGGACAACAGAAAAGTGGGTAAAGGGAGACATCGGACAGGGCAAGATATGACAAAATAACAATTTATAAACTATCAAGGGCTCATGGGGGAGGGGGGAGTGGGGAGGGAGGGGGAAAGTGAGGACCTAATGCTGGGGATTTAAGTGGAGAGAAAATGTTTTGAGAATGATGAGGGCAATGAATGTACAAATGTGCTTTACACAATTGATGTGTGTATGGATTGTGATAAGAGTTGTATGAGCCCCTAATAAAATGATTACAACAAAAAAAAGAATTAACTAGCCAAATAATAAAAGTAAAAAAAAAAATCACTTCGGAGTGATGTTGAGGGGATCACACACACAGACAGACACACACACGCCATCTACAATCGGAGTAAACCATTTAAGTCATCACGACAGAGGGGCTGCTGCCTTCTAACCCCAAGAACCGAACCCAACCAAACTCCTCGTGGCCCCACGTCTGCAGAGTAGAACTGTGCTCCGTGGGGCTTCCAGGGCTGTGAAGTGTGGGACGCCGACCGCCAGGCCTTTCTTCCGAGGCTCCTCTATGTGGGTTCCAAACGTCCACCTTCGGGTTCCGTCAGGAGCTTTGCCATCTGCCCACCATGAGCTCTTATCTCTAACCTCTAGCTCACGCCTTACCCCCCCATATCCCTCCATACCTCTCAAGTCTGGGGGATTTTCTGGGGTGCCCCTTTAGAAGGGCCCCAGCCCTGGGGGCCACCTCGCCCAGGGTCCCCTCTGGCCAGCCCACCTGCGGTCGATCATCTGGTAGCACTTCTTCAGCCAGCCGATGCCGGGCATCCTCCGCCGGGGCGTGGCGCCATTCAGGTACACGATCATGTAGTCCTCCGCCACAAGGAGTTCCAGGCTGCTGATGACGTACCTGCGAGAAGGTGGGTCACGGAAGACGCAGGTGCTAGGGCTGACGCTGCGAGCCCGCTGGGGCTGCCCACTTTGGCCACAGGTGCTCCTGTTCCGGCGCTGTTGTCTGTCCGGGCACGCTCAGTAGGAGTGGGTGTGGGGGGACCCCAACCCACCCCAAGTTCCAATCCATGGACATAATACTGATGGTCAGGTGGTGGTGTTGTGTCCGCTGTAGCTCATAGGGGCGCCATGTCCCCAGGAGAACCGCCCCCCTGTAGGGCAGCAGTCAAGAAACTAGAGGACCTGCGGCATGTGGCCCATCTGCAGCATGAGGCTGCTTCCAGGTGTTAAAGAGCAAAGATGTCACTACAGTACACCTGACCCAAGCAGCGGTACCTTCAATCACCTCATTTGCATGAGAAAACCGGACAGCGAATAAGGAAGACAAGAAGAATCAATGCCTTTGAACGACAGTGCTGGATTAGCACCTTGAAAGAAAGCACCAAGGAGGGCCCAAAGAATAAGGTGACCAGACTTTAACATTGGTAAAGGGGGACACCATTGACCGGGGGGTGGGGGGGCGGAGGGTTGCTTCTTGACTAAAATTTGGCCTATATGTACCAAATAGACCGTTCCCTAGCTTGTCGTGCATTCTTTCCAAAAATCGGGAGTTTTTTTTAAAACGCCGCGGGACGTTTTAGATCGGGACTGTCCCGCTAAAAGCGGGACGTCTGGTCACCTTACCCAAGAACCAACCGGTCTGGTCCGAAGAAGCAGAGCCAGAGTGCTCCCTAGAAGCCAGGCCGGCGAGACTTTACTTCACGTCAGCAGGAGGGACCAGTCCCCGGAAAAGGACATCGTGCTTCGTGAAAGAGTGGGTCAGCCAATAAAAGGAAGACTCTCAACGAGATGGACGGACACAGTGACTCCGGCAATGGGCTCCAACTTAACGCCGACGGTGAGGATGGCGCAGGGCTCAGGAGACAGTTGCAAAAACGTGAGCTGCTGGAGCGCCGGGTTGCTGTGCGTCAGAACCTTGGTGAGTTGGTGCTAGGGAATCATAGCGCCCCGTGTGACGGGGTAGAACTGGCCATGGTCTGTATCCCTCAGACCCTCTGGGGGGGTTCGAACCGCTATCCTTTACCGTTAGCAACCTGACGCTTAACTGTTGTGCCACCAGGGCGCCTGTTCATTGCAATCTTAGCCACAGGAGCGCACGGTACTGGGTGCTTCCCGTGGGCTCAGCAGGAACAGCTGGGAGGACGGTGCAGGGCAAAGCGGTGTTTCCTTCTGCGGTACGCAGGCCACCGCGGGCCGGCCCCGACTGGATAGCCCCTGATGACAATCACCCCGGCGCAGGCTTCCTCTAGGCCACCTCATCTCCCCTTGAGGACAGTGACTCAGGGTAACAGAGGCTGGGCGGTGGGGGGTGGGGGGGGGCAAGAGACCTGGTGAGCGAGGGAGGCAGCAGGAAATGGGATATAAAGGAGTCCCTGGTGTCGCCAGGGGTGCCGCGCTGGGCGATCAGCCAAAAGACGATTCGCTCCGCCCCACCCCCACGGCCAGCGCCGACAATCGATTTCGGACAGGTCACAGCCTGGACCACCCACAGGGCAGAGTTCTCCTCTGTTCACACGGGGGTCACCAGGGTTCGAGACCGCCGGGATGACCACTGTCAGGCGACATTTGCGTCCTGCTCTCGGTCTCCGCGGTGCGATGCCCCTCCGTCGCCCACCCGGGCGGGGCTCTGGCAGCTCGGCCCCGCCCCCACAGGGCTTTGGAAAGCGGGCCCTGCCTCACGTGGTTTTGGCGTCAGGTCCAGCCCCCACGTGGCTCTGACAGTCTGGCCCCGCCCCCGCCCCGCCCCCAGGGGCGCCTGACTCACAGGAAGAGGTTCTCCATGATGTAGTGGTAGTCCGGGGCGCCGCTGTCTGGGAGGAAGCAGGCCGCAAAGACGATGATGGCGTTGAGGCCTTCACCGTAGTACCCTGGGGGGAAGTGGGGGGGGCAGCGTTGAACACCCCAGCAGCCATGGCAGAGCTATGGACAATCTCCCAGCTGCCCACGGCAGCCTCCCCCTCACCTCCTCACCTGCAGCCTTGTCCCATATCAGGGCAGACCTGCGATCCAGCTCATCTCTGCTCTGCACCCCCACCCCACCGCTCATCCTGAGGGCGGCTGAAGGTCACAGACCGAGGTTCCGAGAGCCCCCCATCCCACCCCCGCCGGCAGGCAGGCGCTCACCTCCGTGGGTCACCACCTTCATGTACGGCCGAATCATGTGCAGGTCGATGCGGTGCTCCTGCTCCCCGATGATGACCGTCCGCCACAAGCGCCCGTTGGCTGCAGCGCCGTCCTCCGCGGCGCCGTCCCCGAACAGATCAGCGCTGTCCCCCGGCATGTTCTTGGCAGTGGCCACGGGGGTGTCATCTGGTAGCAAGCGGAGGGGCTGTCAGAACCTGGAGCTCTTGGGTGGTGTTGGGGGGAGGGAAGGAACCCCCAGATCTCTTTGCAAAATCACCACCCAGCCTCCTGCCCTCTCTCTGTGCACCCCTAGCTTCAAAAACCCCCAACAAAAACCCCTGCTGCTGTGGATTTTGACTCATAATAACTGCAGGACAGAATAGAACTGCCCTGTAGAGTTTCGGAGGCTGTCAGTCCTTATTGTAGAAGAATGCCTCATTCCACGCCCCCCCACTCCCCGCTTATGGATCAGCTGGTGGATTTGAACCACCAGCCTTCGAGTCAGCAGCTCAACACCTAATCATTATGCCACCAGGGTTCCTTCCTTCAGCTGCCGGTGGCCACATGATCTAGCCCTCTAGCCTGTGAGCCTTTGCCTCTGTGCTCTCTTCACCCGACTGCCCTGGCTTGCTAATCTCCCTCCAAATGCCACTTCCTCCAGGAAGCCCCCCGGGACACCCCCTCTACAGGCCTCCCAGAGATGGGGACTTGTGGCTGTGGGGTGAGCCCTGTGTGTGTCTTACCCTCCTTGGAGCTGGGTCAGCCTAGAGGCAGGATGGAATCTAGCCTGGGTCCCCGGTGAGAGCCAGGGACTTTTGGATACCACCTGCCAAGCTTGCCCCCACCCAGATCTTACATTATTCTCTTGCGCCCAGCCCTAAAGCCTTCCCTCCTGCTGACCCTCCCTTCTGTCCCAGAGGGTCCTTTCCAATGTCTCCACCATCTGTCTTTCTTGAGCCCCTTCCAAAGGATCAACACTACACACACACACACACACAACACACAGTTCCTCTAATCAGGGTCTCCCCTTGGACGCTGAGGACGGGAGGGCCAGACCTTCTCTGGGGTGGGGCTATCCTGGGCACTGTAGGGTGCAGAACATCCCTGGCCTCCACCCACTTAATGCCAGTAACATTGTCACTCCCTCCAAGTCATGGTAACCACACATGTCCCCAGACATAGCTGTGTCCCCTGGGATCAGGATCACCCTGGATGAGGACCCCACTGCACCCTCTCATCCACATCTTATTTTGTCCCTGCACCGATGACAGCTCTGTCTCATTATATAGTGTCACTCTTCCTAATTCCAGGTGTGTGAGTAAGTCCACCAACCCACAGCCTGTCATTGGAACCCTAGAGGGCAGAGTAGAACTGCCCCTGTGGGTTTCTAAGGCTTTACCTCTTTACAGGAGTAGAAAGCCTCGTGTTTCTCCTGCAGAGAAACTGAGGGGTTCAAGACTGCTGACCATGAGGTTAGCGGCCCACTGCCTAAACCACTACCCCAATAGGTTAGGGACCGTCTATCTCTGCCCTGTCCCGTCCCAGCTCCCGCACTTCAGTCGGGTCTGCCCTGAGTTGGCATCATTATGAATTGAAATCCACCTGACAGCTGTGAGTTTGAGTTTATGTCCCCTCCGCCCCTTGTGGGCGGAGCATCCTAGCCCCGCCCTACTCCTCCACCATAGGGCTGAGCGCTGCGGGGAGGGCTCGCCCAGCCCCGCCCCCCAGCTCCCATTGGTTAAAACGGAGCCACTCCCCGCCCACCCTGTCCGGCCCCTGGAGCGTGGGAATCGAGACGCTCCCGCCAGCCGCCCGCGGGAAGTGGAGGAAGGAGGCTTTGAGTCAGATCAGTCAGGGTGGCCCCGACGGTTGGTCAGCATGCAGACTGATCAGAGCGAAGAGCCAGCCAGCTACACAGGAAACCATTAGCCGGGGGAGGGATGTGAGAGGCCGGGAGAGCACAAAACACCAGCCAGAAAAACAATTCCCATTCCCCAGAGCACTGACGGTGAAAGAAATCTGTCAGCCTTAGAACGAACATACACAACACAGTGGGGGGCGGGGGCGGTCTGGGGACGGGGAACGGGGTGGCCCTCAGTTCCCAGTGGATGGCGGGGCCCCTGGTGGTTGTTGCCCTTGACAAACATTGGATTTTTGTGATCGCATAGGGCTTTCGGGGGCTGATTTTGTGGGGAGTGGATCAAACCCCCCAAAAAGCAAACACTGCCATGAGTCCATGGCTATTCATAGCGACCCTGTAGGATAGGGTAGAATTGCCTCTGTGAGTTTCCGAGACTAACTCATGATGGGAGTACAAAGCCTCCTCTTTCTCCCATGGAGCAGCTGGTGGTTTCGAACCGCTGACCTTGAGGTTAGCAGTCCAAAACATAATCACTATGCAACCAGGACTCCTGGGGAAGTGGATCGCCAGGCCTTTATTCCAAGTCCTTCTTAGTCTGGAAGCTCTGCTGGAAGCAGCTCACCATCATTGTACCCTGGCAGCCTCGAGGACAGGTGGGAGGTGGGACCCAGGTCCCCCTCCTCACTCCCCCAGCCCCCCAGCCAGCCTTGCCCCCTCACCTTCCCATTCCAACTCGTTGCCATTGCCCAGGAATTCCAGGGAGTCCGTCTCGTCAGGTGTCTCGATGTCATCCACGTTGATGTCCAGGTCATCCGGCGTGTCCAGGAAGTCGTCGGACAGCAAAGAGCCCTCGCTCTGATCCAGGGAGATGTTGATCTCCGGAGCCACAAGCGTCTTTCTTTTACGGTGCGCCCCGTTGAAGTTCAGAGTATTTGGGGGCGCTGGGGAAGAACAGGAGAATTTGTGGGCCAGCAGGCGGGGTGGGGGTGGGGGCTCGCGCTTTCTTTTGTCCCCTCCCCATTGCTAACCTGTGTGTGTGAGAGAGGGTGGAACTGCGCTCCGTGTGGGTTTTGTCGGCTGTCATCTTTCGCGAGGGGATTAGGGAAGGATGGGCCTGTTGCAGCTGCCCTCAAAGGGCACCCCTTCCCTGAGCATCTAGAGAAGGTGGGCATCGCTATTTCTCGGTTACCTTACGGTTGGATCTGGGCAAAGCCGAACCTGGAAACTTGCTAGGAGCGCACATGCAGGGAACTTACAAGCAGCGTCCTACTTACAAAGTGTGGGAACTTACAAGCAGCGTCTCCGGGGGGGCCGCCCCGCGAGTCCATCCCGTTCTCTTCCGGGAGAGGCCTGTGCACAGAGCGAGCGTCATCAACCACCAGGTGCCACAAGTCCACCGCAGGAGCATGGAGTGACGTGGGCAGGTCCAGTGTCCCCACAAGACAAAGATGAGCAACACAACGCTGGAGCCTTGAGGATCCTCTCCCTGAGCACTAACGCCAAACGCTTTGCCAGCAAGGCAATGCCGACCCTGTAGGACAGGGTAGAACCACGCCTGGGGGTTCCAGTGACTGTGCCCCTTTATGGGAGTAAAAAGCCTTCTCTTTCTATGGATGAGCAGCTGGTGGCTTCAAACCAGGGACCTTGCGGTTCACAGCCTAACTCATAACCGCTATGCCACAATGGTTAGTACAGAAAGTCATAAAAAATTAGGGGGTGGGGATGGGAAGGAGGCAGGAGACAGGTGTTGAAGGCCTAGGAATATCTCAGTTACTATTCCAGGAGGCTGCAAGATGTTCATGGGGAAACAGAATGAAAAGATCATAGAATTTTTCCATGAGCTCTTTGCAGCCCCCTCATCGTTCATCAAGTTATGTTCTACATCCTCATTTGCAGAGTAGCGTCTGGGGTCTTAAATGCTTAGAACAGACCAAAAATAAAATGCTTAGAACGGTCATTGAAAGATAGCCTAAGTTATCTTTCTTCGCCTGGAACAAAAGAGGAAGGAAGGAGCCAAAGTCTCAGAGACTAAAGGCGTCTATCTACAGGACAGTCTATATCAAGCATGGCCTTATCTACCCTGAGATTAGCAGAAGTAGATGGTGCCCGGCTTCCATAACCCACCATTCTGATCAGGACCACAGCAGATAAACTCTGATGGCGTGGGAGAGAGCTACAGAACAGAACTTCAAATTCTCAAAATACAAAAACAAAACCATAAAACCAGACTTAGTCGGCCAGTGGGGACTAGAGGAACCCCCAAAAATACCCCCGTAAGACCCTTTTCATACTTGAGGCCAAAACTAACCCCTGAGGTCTCCTAGGAGCTAAATAAGTCATCACCTCTGTCTCCAAATAATCATTATCACCCACTAGTACTGTGCTTCTTTGCAGAAAAAGAAGAAGAAGAAGCCAAACAGTCAATGATTTTCAAAGGAAGGTGAGGATG